CATTCTATGTGAATCCATTTGTGGATTGGCATGCTTATATGACACAGTTTTGATAGTACCATGTACAGAGCCTAGTAGTCCTCCGAGCATCAATAACAGCTGCTTACTATCAGGTTCTTTTATAGGACTGATTGTGTATTGCAGGGCTAATAACTATGTTAGGAAGCGATGTCCTAACTAGTCGTCTTGAGATAACTGGGCCACGTGCCAACAGTTATGTCGTCACTACCTCAGTAAGCGTACTGAAAGGTAGGTCTGGCTGGGCCAATGCCAACGGTCAAGTCAAGAGTCCAGGTAATCGCTGTATTCAACAGGAGGTTGAACTAAGGAATACATGGGTTTTCCTACAGTATATATAGTAACTGGTATAGGGGTTAATACCCAAAGAAGAGAACAATAAGAAAGGATGCGTAAGCTATCCTGTGAGAACGTAACTCAGAGAAATGAGAAATACAAGGGCGCCCATTGGTAGAAGGTGAGTCAAGGGAGATAACGTGTGAGAAGAAGATAGCGTCCATGGGAAGGTCTACTCAGAGGAAGGTACTGTCCAATAGCAATGCTCGGAATGGAAATAGAATGAGATAAGCATGGGAAAATCATAACAAACTACATCTGTTTTTCCTGATGCTGGCAGTGTTACGCCCAGCAATACCAGTGATGCTGGCACCGCCCATATGGGACTCAAGTATGACTTACGCCTACCCTCCCCTGTGTCTGTTTACAGTGCAACCTGAAGCTCACCAGTATCTGACAAAGAGAACCTCTCCCCTCCGTCCACCATATTCAGAGCCAATGCACTGTCCCTGGTTGCCGCTGCACCCAATGCTGCCTCTCCTGTTCATCCCTGTGTTGCTGCTGACTACTGGGTGGATCACGGCCTCCTTGCAATTCCTGATGCCTCTGCTACAATGGATGCATCTATATTCAATCTTCCAGTGGCTGGACCTTTGTCAAGCATTATCAACAAGTCTTGCTTCCCAGCAGGTGACCTTGCAAGGTTTATGAATAAACTCCAGTGCTGCCCCCCCCCCCCCCATGGAGCCTGGGGAGGACTCAATGCTAGCATGGGAGAGGAGCATGCCCCCTGGAATGACTTTTCTATGGTATCACTCCCTGGCCCTTCTGCACCCTAAGTATGATGTTTCTAATATACACATGAATGTAATTATTTGCTTGATTATGGAAGATATGTAGCACAGTCCTCATTACACTGGTAGGTAGATAAGTCTCAGCAAGTCTAGCAACCTATATCATCATAGATAATGGAAGGTACAGTGCTAGGAGGGCAGTCGAGGCAGGGAGCGCCACTGATGGCCACAGCATCTGACCTGCCCGCTGCTTTCCCTACTAGGGTCCTGGCAGGGCCCTTGGGAGAGTCCAACAGCACCCTCAACTGCACTCTATTGCCTGGGTATACCAATGTCATACATAGCAGAGACATAGTCTACAAAGTCTGTATGAAACCGCTGGTCAGTCAAAGAGGTCTCCTGAGCCTTGTTAGGCCTGACCGGTGGTCAGTTGAGTTAGCCTTATAAGGCCTGGGGCCTCACATGTTACTGTAGTGATAATGCAATATACATGCATTGCAGTAACAAGATGTATTACATTACACAGCATAATATTAAGGGGTGTGATGTATCACACCCTGCAGGCCCAGGGGAGGCTGCCAGCTGCCAGCTGGGTTTGAAACCAGCTGTCCCGGCATCCCCGGCTTGATGCTTGGGATCGGGGATGGATCTGTATCTCCGGGGCAAGGTCCATGGGGCTATGAAAATGTGAACCATAATCAATTACAGTCGACTCTGTCTTAACCCATAACAGGTCGTGGAACCCAAAAGTTATGGGTTTTGGCAGACTGGGTTACCAGAATGTGTGACACCGTGTGACTACCTAGTAAGTGTGACAGACAGCCTATTCGGTATATGCCGGACGTCGTTTATGACAACGTTTAGAGACGGAATCTTGAGTCTGGTATGGGTTATCTTCTGAAATACCACGAGAACCGAAAATTCAGGGTCCAGATAGTCCAGGTTCTCGTGGGAAGGAGACCTGCACCTTCCTAATATAGGTTGTTTTATGGGTTATGACCCTCTAAAAAGTTATGGGTTATGGGATATGGCAGACTTATGGGCTTTTACTATCTACCATGTCGGTGGAAGCCAAAAACCTATGGGTTATTACAGGTTATGGGTTATGACAGGTATGGGTTAAGACAGAGTCGACTGTACATCAACCTGTGGTAGCTGCATCCATATACTAGCTCAACAACTCTTTGGCTTTTTCCCTGGCCAATCTACCCTTCCCCCTTGCGAGTTCAACCTCTGCCCAGCATTTGGCAGACACATTGAACAGAGAGGAACTTGCATCATAGACCCTACTGAAAATAGCTATCTCATCTCCAATCACCTGGTCACAAACACCTGGGCTACCCAAAAGCTCCCTCACTCCATTGAAGAATGCATCGAGCACAGAGAGATTATGGGTAAGCAAGAGTGCATGAGCTGACATCTCATGGGTATGGAGGAGATGGTGGATGTATGCTCGGGAAAAGGGGGATGGGCTCTCTCCTACCTCACCTGAGTCTATGCTACTATGCAGAATGACCGTAGAGGGAGCAACAGGAGACCGGGCCGCAGAAGGGAAGGGGTGGTCCGTGAGTGGTCGAAAATCGTGTGCATACTGGAAGTTATACAGGTTGTACCCGATGGGAATGCCGGCTTGCCGTGCACCGTCGTTCTCGCCCGCCGCATCGTCGTCACCAGAAGCCGCGACGTGGTCCCGGTACTGCTGAGGGACAGGAAACTGAAAGTCGAGAGCAATGCCGATATCCGCGGCACGCTGAGCCCATGCAGCATCGAATAGATCCACGCCGGCCGACTGGATCAGCTGTAGTATCTCATGCGGGCCGGTGCAAGAGTTGACAAGGCGGGGCTTCTGCTCAGGGAGAGCGGACAAAGACGTTCGGACAAGGTCAGCCAAATCCCCGGTATACTGCGTCAAGTCCCAGGGATGCAGGACCTCCGGGACGAGGTGCGCCGGGATCTTGTCGTATAACCGACCAGTCAGCCTATCCCCGCTTAGCGTCGCCCGCAACGGTGCGAGGTCGAAGGAATACCCTGCCACGCCCTCGTCGAGCGTCTGGAGTGGCCGGACCATGTCGGCCTCCTTGTCGTATAGACGAGACGTCAGACCGTCCGCGAAGGCCGCTCTAGCGTCGTGCTCGACGCCGCCGGCCATCTGGACGAAGACATTGGTCGGGTGAGTGTATTCCGAGGTGTCAGAGCGGAGGAGGTCGGATAGCCAGGCTAGGGATCGCTCGACGCTTTTGACCGAACGCTTTTGGGAGAAGGGCGGTGGCGTGAACGGGGTGTCCGTGAGAGCGAACACGATATCGGGGTCGCAAGCTTGAGAGTATGAACGCCAGCTCGCCGGGCTGACCTGTCACTGAGTGTCAGAACATAAAGGTCTGCGTGAAATCTACGACGCGGGACACGATCCTTGCCTTACGGACGCCCCTGACGCAGTTTGCAGATATGTGATTGTCGCCACTGGGCGGCATTTCACGGACGTCCGCGGGATCTCGGAGGGACAGGGAGAGGATAAATCGCGAGGGTGAGTAGCCCAGAAAACGCTGCAGGGCTTTGGGACCGCCGAGGAGTGTCGGCACAGGGGGATTTTGATCTAAGCTGCACGACGAGAGTAATCAGGATCGAGAAACACAAAGGACGGGTTGCAACATACAAGCTTTCAAATGTTGCGTGAATCCATCTGACAGCCTCCGTCTGCTCGCATAGCCTTTGAGTGAGGTGCGACACGACGCCTCGAGACGTCGCGGTGACGAAGCCCGGAGTCTTCACTTCGAGGACCGTTCCGTCTGGACGCTTCAGCTGGAGTATACCTCTTCGGTAGCCATGCTGCTTTCCAGACTCGAGCGTGAAGGCGATGGTGGAATACATCCGAGCAGTCGGCGACACAGTAAGAGCAGCTCGAGATGCCCGAAGCATAAAATGAAGTCAAAGACCTTTACCGTGGGCCGTCGGCCTCCATCTCAAATCTAAGATCAAAGCCACAATAAGGCCACATCCAAGAATGCATTACTACATCGTCCAAAATGATATACATTATTGAGTCCTCTCGAGGATAGAGCTATCGGACTCTCAGACGCCCCTCACCCTAACGGCTAGGACGGGTATACGAGTAAATGGTCCCACGGGAGGAATCGACAATCGCAACGAAACAGAGATATATGCAAAGTGATGCTCTAATGCTAATATTGGTGGTCAATTATCTGATCTATCGGAATGATGCTACGAGTTGACTCACCGTTCCGTGTATCATACAACAATCGTACGTCGTGTTCCACACACAACGTAACCCCAAGACGGATGCTACCCACAGTGTCACTGCGACGCCGCCTGCGCGTCCTCCTGCTTCATCCGCTCCTTTTCCTCGGGATCGAGCCAACTCTCCTCAACAGTCTCCTTGACTCGACGGACGTACTCTTTCATGTTTTCTCGGTACAGCTGAGCCGCTTCGGCATTCGCGGGACTATTGGGATTGGGATCATGCAGAAGGGATTGGATGGAGGTGAGGATGGCGGCGACGTCGTACGTAGGAGACCAGCGGTTTTGGAGGATATCGAGACAGAGTTCACCGTTGGCGTAGACGTTTGGATGGAACATGCGGGACAGAAACTTGACAGTGGGAGGCTTGTTGGGATAGGACTCGTCAAAGGTCAAGAGCAGTCTAAAGGTGCCATCCTCGAAAGGAGTGTCGGCTGGACGCGATGAGCAAGATCCAACAACTCAAGTAAGCTGACATACCTGGACCGAATATGACGGCGTTCCAAAGCATAATGTTATCCGGACATGGGCTTCCTGAGACGCCACTTGGTGGGTCCGTCGAGAGACGTTTGAAGTCTCGGATGAGGCGGCGTCTGCAGTTCGTGGACTAGGGTCGTGTGAGACATACACGACGGTCTCCAGTTGCTCTAAAGACTTACCATGGTAATAGTAGAGAGCTACACTCGAGAGCTATGAAAAGACGACGACGGTGGCGGTAGAGAGCAAAACGACAGAACGCAAGTACAAGTCAGCGAGAAAGGAGGGTCGCCACAAACGGTCAGACGCCCAGAGGCTGTGTGGCACGTGACGACTTCCTTCTGAGGCGTCTCTTATAGTCGTACAAACTCTCGGTCTGCACCGCGGAACACGACAAAGCCAGACCGGAGAGTACCAGCGCATCATGCAGGACGGTAGAGCACCTCGGTTTGTCGTCGTATGACTCGTCCTTTGGCGCAGCACTTATTGTCTCGAAAACAGTGTCAAAAACAGGGCGCCGGCCGCCATCCAGGTTCGTCTGTGACACGGCTTTCACGCGTCTCCCCACTCATGAACTGCGATAGATTACCGCCGAGCAAATTCTCCGGGAGGTGAGCTAATGTGCCCTTACCCGCGCGTGTCCGTTTGACTCTGAACTCGAGTTGCAACCTTAGGCTCAAGAGCGGCAAGAGAGCCAGTTCCGCGCGCCGAAGCAGCGCATTGAAGACTTTGAGGAGCTTCATGAGTACAGGGGAAGGAAGCGGAAGGAGTTTGAGGAACGGATACGGCGGACGAGGGGCAACATGTGAGTCCCGCTCGAATCGGACGGTCTGCAGACTGACAATTCACTCCAGCAAAGAATGGCTACAGTATGCCAACTGGGAGGTACGTATATATGCTCCTCCCTGGCTTCTACCTCTGACCCCCTTCTTCCCTGAACAGGCCAGCCAAAACGAGTTCGCTCGGTCACGCTCAGTCTTCGAGCGTGCTTTGGACGTCGATCCGCGAAGCGTGCAGCTATGGCTCAGCTACACTGAGATGGAGCTTAAGGCGCGAAATGTCCAGCACGCTCGGAACCTGTTCGACCGAGCGGTCACCCTCCTCCCGCGCGTAGACCAGCTCTGGTACAAGTACGTCTACCTCGAAGAGCTGCTGCAGAACATCCCGGGTGCCCGCCAGGTGTTCGAGCGTTGGATGCAGTGGGAGCCCGACGACAAGGCGTGGCAGGCGTACATCAAGATGGAGGAGCGGTACAACGAGCTGGACAGGGCTAGCGCGATATACGAACGGTGGGTTGCTGTACGGCCGGAGCCAAGGGTCTGGGTCAAGTGGGGGAAATTCGAGGAAGAGAGGGGCAAGCTCGACAAGGCGAGGGAGGTCTTCCAAACCGCGCTGGAGTTCTTCGGGGACGACCCAGAGCAGGTCGAGAAGGCGCAAGCTGTGTTTGGCGCGTTTGCAAGGATGGAGACCAGGCTCAAGGAATATGAGCGTGCACGGGTCATATACAAGGTACGTGCGGGACTCGAACTTGCGAGGCATCATTACCAACCCCTGCGATAAGTTCGCCCTGGAACGGCTCCCCCGATCCAAGTCAACGAATCTTTATGCAGCATATACAAAGTTCGAGAAACAACACGGAAATCGGTCCACGCTGGAATCCACCGTCCTCGGGAAGCGGCGAATCCAGTATGAAGAAGAGCTCGCTCACGACGGCCGCAACTATGATGTATGGTTTGACTACGCCCGGCTCGAGGAGGGAGCGGTGAGAGACCTGAGAGATGAGGGTGCGACTGCCGATGAGGTGGAGCAGGCTATCGGCCGGGTCCGAGAAGTGTACGAGCGGGCCGTCGCACAGGTACCTCCAGGCGGTGAGAAGCGGCATTGGCGGCGCTACATATTCTTGTGGCTAGATTATGCCCTCTTTGAGGAGATCGAGACCAAGGTATGTCAGGTCTTACCGTGCAATATCCCCAGCATTTGATTCCTCTCCCGCCTAGGACTATGACCGCACACGACAAATATACCAAACGGCGCTGAACCTGGTACCACATAAGCAGTTCACTTTTGCAAAGCTGTGGCTTATGTTTGCTAAATTCGAATTGCGACGGTTGGACTTGGGCGCGGCCAGAAAAATCCTGGGTACTGCAATCGGTATGTGCCCGAAAGAGGCGCTGTTCAAGGGTTATATCCAGATGGAACTGGATGTGAGTGTCACTCTACGACCTGTATTGTCACTCATTGACTGGCAACGTGTAGCTTCGGGAATTCGATCGTGTGCGCACGCTTTACGAGAAATACCTTGAGGTAACAGTCTCTTCAGTTGCACCTCAGTTTCTGTCTGATAGTGTCTGTTACAGTTCGACCCCACAAACTCTGCAGCCTGGATCAAGTACGCAGAGCTGGAGACGCAACTCGAGGACTTCTCGCGCACACGTGCAATCTTCGAGCTTGGCGTCTCTCAGTCTCCACTCTCCATGCCGGAACTCCTCTGGAAAGCCTACATCGACTTTGAAATCGAGGAAGGCGAGCGCGATCGCGCGCGTGCCCTCTTCGAGCGCCTGGTCTCTCTCAGCGGGCACATCAAAGTGTGGCTGTCGTACGCCAAGTTCGAGGCCGAGCCTATGCCCATACCGCGAGCGCAGCGGGACGAAGAAGAGGACGAAGACGAGGATGCGGAGGTGCCGATGGTGCCTGGAGACCCTGCCCTCGCAAGAGCTGTCTACGAGAGAGGGTACCGCGACCTGAAGAGCAAGGGCCTCAAGGATGAGGTGCGTTTGTCGTGGCGAACCTCTGCTCCGTGGCTAACGTCGTTGCAGCGATTCGCCCTTCTCAAGCATTGGAAGGAGTTTGAGGAGAACTACGGTTCGGCGAGCGATGTCTCGAAGGTCCAGGCTATGATGCCGATTGCCACGAAGAAAAGGCGAATGGACAACGAGACTGGGCAGATGGAAGAAGGTAATCCCATATTTGCTTATTCGTGTAGCTCGACGCTGACGATGGCGCTAGTATGGGAAATGGTCTTCCCGGACGACGAACGCGAGGCAAACCCGACTTCGTTCAAGTTCCTGCAAAGAGCGCATGCTTGGAAGAGCGCCCAAGCCAAGGGAGGTGCTACCGCTGCTACAGGGGCAGCAGCGGCCGCCGCGCCTGCGCCGGCTGCGTCAGATGGCGGTACACGCGCTGCGAATGACGAGAGTAGTGACGAGTCCAGCTCCGGTGGAGAGGATTAACCGCCTTGTATATGCTGTCGTGTCTCCAGCCAAATTCATTTCGATGTTTGTACTGCTAGCAAAGCCATATCATCTGTGCTTTCTATCCCATTCACACTTCGGGAATACACTGAATATCGCTATATGTTACATTTGCAACTAGATAATGCCCGGCAGCACCACTCCCAAGGAGCCTCCTAGCACGTCAATATCCCGTTCTTGATGGTAACGCAGTCCCCTGCCGACAGGATACCGTTGAGCACTAAAAGATCGAACACCAGCCTACTACGCTTACCGAGGTCTACGATCGAGGCAGGTTCACCACCGTGCCCATCGCCGCAGTAGCATTCCATAAATTCGATTCCGGCAGCAATCTCACACCCGCTGCAAGTTGAGCTGAAGTAGCCGCTGCAGGGAGAGGTGAGTCAACCAGACGGCTATCGTAAGTCGAATGCACTCACTTGTGAGCACAAGTAAGTTGGCCGCCATCGTTGGCGACACATTTGTCCAGATTGATGGCGGAGTCGACCGCATCCCCAGCGCTGTTGTAGCAGGTGGTGAAATATGAATAGTCGGAGACATATCCGCTGGTGCAGTCTGTCAAACTGGCACTGGTGAGCTGTAGTTGCAGGAGGAAGGCCACGGTGGAGGCTGCAAGGGTTGATGAGAACTTCATTGTGGGATTTATGTGCTGCTCTTGTTTCGTGGGGGGTGGGGGTTGAGTTATATGCAAATGACTGCCCCCTTTTTATAGCATGGAGAATAGGAATGCAAGAGACGGGTTACAGCTTCCGCGTATGAGACGCACCTGAATGCCCAGTACATCATCAGACGATTCCCCTGGTCCTACGGACAGAAGCCGCGAACCCGTGGTTCATGTGTTGCGAATGAATGAATGAATGAGCCGCTCGTCTGAAGGTCCTTTGAGTGTCGGTCTGTTCCAAGGACCGGGGATGCGGGATCAATTCTGGTTTACAGTATACGTACATTTCGGAACCTCCAGCCCGTCCCCGCGCCGCTACAGCGCCTCATCGATTCGCGGTACCGTATTCAGATATGGACGCACGCCGGGGTGAGGGACATGAGGTTAATCGTGCAGTGCCACCCCGTCCATGATGTATGATCGAAACACGGTCACACACGGTCTTTTCCCCATACAAACTTTCCCCGGAGTTTCTGGCATTGCGAATTGTCCTGCTCGCCCCTGAACGAACATAGATCCTGGATGTCCATCAACGACCAACGCGCAAGGTACCGTGTACACCGGACTCACGTCCGTCTAGCGCGGGGACGATGAGTGGTCTCGGGCCTCCCTTACCTTGATGGCATTGGCATATGCCCGAGCTCGAGTACATTCTCGGGCGCTTGACGAATCGTCCATGAGGAACTGAACAGGATAACATTCATGGATGCTGGCACTTCGGAAGCATGTCTCATAACCGGCACGCTCTACAAGGGGGGGGGCTCACCGCCCTCACGAGTGTCTTCCGCCGGCCGAATGCATGCCGAGCGCTACAATGTCATCCTGAGTCCTGCCAGCGCTAAAAACAGAGCCGTGACTCCTGAGGTCCGCGCGTGCAAAATCAAGCATAGGATGGAGTGCATACACTGCGCTTTCTAATCCCAGTCTGTTGGCTGCAAGTATGAAGTTCAGCGCAAAGCTCGAGCCAATCAAGTATGGCGACACAAGTGTGGCTATCCTACCCTTTCCGAGCTTTCCCGACTGATGACCACGTGCTTCCTCATTGCTCTCACCGCCACACGTCCGGGTGCTGGTCCGACATCAACGAGCGTACCCTTCCATGTGAACTTGCCAATACGAAATGATGCCCCAGAACGTATGAAACTAGCATACTGCACCAACGTGAAAGTCCTGCCCATTAATCACTCAACAGATAGGAGCTGTCAGAACCAATATTCGATAGCTAGTTAGGAGTCCTTACCCACAAAATTGGGTGCGTGCCGAATCTTGTACCCCACGGAAATTGTTGAGCCGAGAATGCATGAGACCTTCTGATTGGAGTCTTCAATACACTTAAACATCCAATTTAATATTGGTGACTACAAAAGACTATAAAATCCGATTTGTAGTGTCTGTTCATGATAATAGCTTATTTTCATCTTGAGTGTTTCATGTATCTCCGTGGTTTCTTCTATAAAGCGGTTTTTTTGGGTTGTCTGTCTATGCGAATATTTTGAGCATTTTATCGTTGCTACATCCTTTACTGCATGCCCATTGTCGTGTGTGGCATTCTGTTACCATGGGAATTCACTTCTGTGGCGGTTTGTAGTGGGTGGCTGAGGTGAGTCGCCGCGCCTTCTCATTGGCTACCAAGAGGGGGGAAGAAATAATACTTTCCAACACAGACTACCTGTATTTTCCAGGACCCTGGAAAGTAGATGGGTACCTACCTACCTGCCCGTATGGGGTACTGGCTGCACGGCTGAAGTGGGTGGGTGGTGTCAGCATTCTCAGGCCTCATGTGGTTCATTTGCCACCCTCAGGTCATGTGCTCTATGCCTGACATTGCAGATATCTTTGATGCCTTCCTCTCAACCATTGCACCCCCTCGTCGCTGGAACCTTCATGCTGTACAATCCAGATTCTTGTTATGCACCCTCTCGTGCAAATGGTATGTGGTAGCACATTCTACAAATCATATTTTGGCCAAACATGTCTTTTAGTGCATTTTAGGACCCCGGGCACCAGGAGGGTACCTTGTCTGTTGGGTAGTCCATGCCCCCGACACCTCTTGTTGGCTACCATCTACTATGACATAGCTTGACTGCAGAACTGCAGTCTCCGCAGTTGAGCTATGTCATAGTTGGGAAATGCCTGCAGTAAATGGTTGGTAGATGGTAAATGGTGTGCACACTAGCATATTAAGGTGTTTTCACTGTCGAAAGTCTGCATTTGCAGACTCATATTGAGAGTACAATCATAGTAGCTATAGAAGCCAAAACACTAAGTCTATAATGGATTATATGACTTGAAATGCACAGGACTCTAACCTGCCATGCATAGCATTGGCCCTCTTCTGCCACGTATGCTTGCTCAAATGTAATGCTGGGACACCTCATTTTTGCGACACTTCCTTGCAGGCTAGTACTCTGCTCTGATTATCAATGCAGGATCCTATCGAGGAAGTCACTTGGCTCCGAGACACTGTGCACAATGATATGCACTGACACACAACAGACCCAAAGACCAGAACAAAACCAACACACCACACCCAGCAGTATGGGTGCCGAAGGTCTAAAAGGAACCGAAGGGTAAGATACAGTTCGACACTGTAGATAGTCCTGGTTATTGAAGCCACTAGAGTCTGACATGGAACTGGGAATGGTCAAAACCAATCGAGGAGTCGGTCGAGGTGATTGATGGTGACCTGACTGCTGATTCCCCTATAGTTAAACAGTTAATAGGCTTCCATAAAAGTAAACAATGAACAAGGAACAAAAATCCCACACACTGTGGTCAAGGATGCAAGAGGCTGAGAGAAACAACAATGTAAGGTGAAAGAATTTGATCGCTGGTATGCTAAGGTCAATGGGTTCAACCTTTGAAGGATGCTGAGATATTAAGTCTGGACGCTGAGATGGGTGAAGATATTTTTTCTTGGTTTTACAGAACATTGCAATACACTATATATATGATCACTAGCCACAACCCAATCTCAATTCCACTGTACAAGTCCCTCCACCACTGCTGTCCATCCTCTTGTTGTTATGATTTTCCCATGCTTATCTCATTCTATTTCCATTCCGTGCATTGCTATTGGACAGTACCTTTCTCTTCTCACACGTTATCTCCCTTGACTCACCTTCTACCAATGGGCGCCCTTGTATTTCTCATTTCTCTGAGTTATGTTCTCACAGGATAGCTTATGCGTCCTTTCTTATTGTTCTCTTCTTTGGGTATTAACCCCTATACCAGTTACTATATATACTGTAGGAAAACCCATGTATTCCTTAGTTCAACCTCCTGTTGAATACAGCGATTACCTGGACTCTTGACTTGACCGTTGGCATTGGCCCGGCCAGACCTACCTTTCAGTACGCTTACTGAGGTAGTGACGACATAACTGTTGGCATGTGGCCCAGTTATCTCAAGATGACTAGTTAGGACATCGCTTCCTAACACTTGTGCCCATTCACTGCTAAACATGTCTCCTCGTGGTCGTTTATAATCCTACGCTCATACCACCATCATCCTGCCTCAACTCATGCACTCATTCGCAAAGGCACATACCTGACCGACCCGATCAACTGCTGAGCCACAATGCTGTATCCAATGCATCTTGATCACATGTGTGCCAAGCCTGTCCCTTCCGGCCGCTATATGTCATATGATTGGGTGATCCCGTCCATGAGGCTTTCCACAGTCAAATCTTAGCTGCGCATGTCAGAGTTGTGTGCCATTTGCCAGGTAAGCGGGAGTCAGTGGGACAGTAATACCAAACCATCGGGCCCATGCTGCAGCAATCAACTCGGTTGAAGCGGTGAAGACAGAGTTGGCAATCAACACCTGACCCAACCGAAGACTATTGAAGTCCTCGCCAGATGTCATAGTAGTGTTTAATGGTGTCGTTTCCCTCCAGTGTGTGAGTCAATCAGCCAGAGACAATAGAGACATAGAGACCGCTGCCAGTAGGCTCTCTGAGAAGTTGTACCTGAGGCTGAAACCATGTTTCGGAGGTCAGACACCATTGGGGTGTATCAAGGAACTTAGCATGCTCACCTAGGTCAATGATGGAGGTAGGCTCCTCACCATGTTTATCGCCTCCATATCCTCGATGCCAGCGGCAATCTCACATTTGCTGCATGAAGCACTGTAACCACACAGATACATCAGTGATAGCTGGCAACACAGTCATTCAGATTAATGCAGGTGTTAATGAGCTGACCAGTGGCATTGGTACAGGTGGCATGGAGGGTCTCTGCAGAGATGTATGCCATGGTACAGCTGTTGCCATAGTTGGCATAATGACCTGTGACTGCAGGAGGATGCCTGCAACAGAGGGTTAATAAGATCTGTATTGCAAGAATGTGTCACTTCAGTTGCGCAGTGGGGCACAGACAAAGATGGTACCACTTTATACAACAGTAAGTGGGAATGGGGATGGGATGGGCAGCAGGAGCTCGTGCATCTGGTAGGCACCTAGACCCATTTCAGATACATTGCTGAGCTATACAGCCAGAGGCTTGAAACAATTTTCCATGTTTTAGAGCATATTTGTTGTGGTAATTACCACAAGTGTGGGGCCAATGGGGTCGCTTAAATCCATCAAAATTCCCTTACTTGGGGAGCTCCACCTGTAGTAATTGCCACACTGAATATGCTCTATTGACTAGAACTGATGACACATGAGCATTTAGAGGCCTTCATATTTTAGTCTGCCCAAATCAGAGGACTGAAGGGTTGAGACCATTGCGGTGTTACAGTACTCAGATATTTCAGTCCTTCTGCAAGCTGCTGTGCTCCTCCTGTTGAAATATTCCTAGCAAATGGAAGACGAGCTTGTTTGCCCTGAGCAGTTGGTTGCCCAAAGGGGAATCACATACGGTACATTGAGTAGGTACAACAAATATATAAGATTTTCTTATCATCTTATCAGTCAGGCCCGCCTGCAGCAGTCCACCCTGACCATGCGCAACAAATCCAAAATCCAACAC